CCCCCAGCCCCGCAACTGCCCCCTGGGGAACCCGCGCCCGCCGCCCCCGAACCACCCCCGCCCCCGCTCCGCCATGGCCCCACCCCCGCCAGGGGTGACAGCCACCTCGAAGGGGGGGGGGGAGCAACTACGACCATTTTTTGGAAAAAACAAAAAATGCTAGGGGCTGCGTGGCAGCGGTGCGCACCCCCCTGTCGGTGCCAGGGGTGCCGACCCCCGGCCCCCTGGACCCCCGCCGAGGCCCCGGGGCAAGGGGTCGACAACCCTGTCAACAGTGGACCAGCGTGGTGAGTTCGTCAAAGGCCTTGTCGGCCATCGTTTTGTCGAAGAACCCTCCTTGATTTTTTGGAGAAATTTTCGCAACCCAGACAAGAGGTGGGGAAGGCAACTTCATTGTCCTCCACCACTGGAGTGGTCCCACAATACGTCTGAATCTTGACAATCCACAATAATAAGTATTCCCCTCTTTTACTGTTGTAGGTAAATGACAATTTGATTTTAATTTATTTTTTTTCCTTTTCAGTTTCTTCCCTTCTTCCTTTTTCAGGACTTCTTTCTCAACGGGTTCGGGTTCTTTTGATTATCGGGGTTTCATGACGTCTTTCATGAACTTTTCAGAGAATTTTTCTTTTCTTCGTTTTCCTCGGATACCTCTTCATGCACAACCTTGTTATTTCCTATTATAAGTCTCGTCACCATCTGCAGTTCTACGGTGACATGATCAATCTTGATTTCTAGGTGTGCTAGGTAAAAAGGCATCACACTTTGCAAGACAGACGCCAAGTCAGTTTCTGAATCCACATAATGAAATTTGTCTTATTTCTTCAACCTTCCTTGCCTGTTGTTCCTGTTCCTTTCGCTGCCTCTGATATTTTTCCTTTTCCTTCAATTTTGTTTCTACTGCAACTTGCAACTGTTTAATGGTGTCGTCTATGATCTCTTCTGTTAGTTCGGGTTCTTCTTTTCTATCACTTGATTCTCCTTTTCCTTCATCCTTGGCCTCTGCACCGACTAGGTTCGCCAACTTCTCAGCAACAAATTGATCGAGGGACATTCGTCCCCGGTCAATTATTTATTGCACTCTCCCGCTGGTTTCCAGAATCTGGACGACAGCTTCAGCCTTTGAAAGTTCGTCTTCTGCAACACACAGATCGAACTGGCTGCGAATATGCCGCTCAGCGTCTGACCCAATATCGTGCACTGAGCAGTTGGTGGAGACGGCCCAGCATGCATTTGCTGCCGTCTTTCTTTCACTTGGCCGCGGGTTCGCATTAACCCACCTTCTTCATCAGCGAAGAAGGTGATCGAGATGGGAGAAAAAAGAAGAGGAATGAATCAACTGAGAATAGACGCACGCAAGCAGTTACAGAGGGCAGCCATTTTCCCCAGTGTGTGTCTGCCACACAATAAACTTTAAACGACAAATATAAATTCAACGGCCACACTTCAATCAAATTTCAATTTCCACGGCAAGAAAAATGAAAAAAAGTTTTCAATAGGAAACAGAATCTAAATTTCTATACATCTAATTTTGCTGATTATTCTTTTGATGATATTTTTCTATAGTCTGTGCATAGGTTCTACAGCCACGACCAGTGTGATCAAGACAACAACACAATGGTGCGTTTGCAGACATCCACAAGACATCCCATGCCAAGTGAGTATCATCAAACAATCAGCAAGTAATCAACAACGTGTTAGCTGATATTCTTCTCGCTGCCCTCAAGTAGATGGTTGTATGTCCAGACTCAAGTTCTGACGCGTGGCACTACAACATAATGTTATGCTGTACCGCCCGTCATACCACACAAGTGCAAGTAACTGTTCCCACCAATCTTCAGCAGATGACAGTATAAGTCATATCTGCCACATACTACACTCCACTCAAGCCAAAGTGAAACATCATCAAGAGAGGTGCCACATCAGCATCAAAGCCCAGTGAGGCTGTCAAGAGTGGAGGTACTTGGTAGCCACGTAAGCAGCAAGAGACTGCCCAATCTGTATGTGATCACTGGAATGATGTCATCTTCAAAATGTCATGTCAACCTGGTGTGTCGCTGCGTCTTTGGAGATGCCATGTCAACAGGTAAGTCGCGACACTTGGGTGAGTGTCACGTTAGACAATGTCACCCGCTGCTTCTGCGTTAGGTGCCACGTCAACACCGACGCGTCATGCCACGTAGACAGCGATTCCCCGATGTCACATAAGCAACTGTCTCTCTTTCTCGATCTTGTCGGTTGCCCAACGTTGTCGGGGCAAATACCCTGACAAGGGTATTTGGCGGGGGTTTTGAACGTCGGACGCTGTCTGACTCTTTTGTTGAATTGAGGAACTTGATGAGACTGACGTTTGCCAAAAAGTTTATTCAGACCAACCTTGTGATTGAGAGTCTTAAATTTTTTTAGAATTTGGCGTCATTGACGTCCGAATGAAACGGCGGGAGTTGGCGGTACGACCTGTCGTCTGCAGTTCCCGACAGGGCCACAGGGGCACATGGTCGTGGAAAGCCTGAAACTAGACTATTCTACCTAAAAGACTGACGCGCGGCTGCTAAGCCGCTCGATTCAGGGCCTAGGTAGGTTGAAAAGAACGGCGCGTCGAGTACGGGGCCCTGATGCGGGAGGAATAGAAAGTTTTTTTTTTTCCCAGACCCGCGGGTTTTTCGAGTCAGGGGGCCGACAGGCCAATGCCGAGGCCTAGCCATGGACGAGCTGCCATCTACGGGAATGCGGCGGCAGGGCCTAATGCCTCAGGCAGGCGAAGTCTGCTGAGCCACAAACTGCAGGCGACCTGCTGGGCACAACCCTTCAAGTGGAAGGGTTGTTGTTCTAGCTCCAGTGATAAGAGCTAGCACATCGGATTTTCAACCAGCAGATGCTGGGATCGAGCCGGCGATAAGCAGTCTGGGCTAGTTCCTTTTCTTTTGGAGCTGCCCACTGCTTCATCATGAAGCGCGGCCATTCTCGGTCATGAGATCATAAAACCTCACGGTCGGGAACGCCCGCGTGGCTGTAGCATGGCCCGTGTGCAAGGATGACACGCATAAATCAAAAAACGACCCAGAATTTTTTTCGATTCCCCAAAGGGAATCGAATCTGGGTCTGCAAATCGGTGGGGAAGGGGTGGATGCCAGCCAGGTTGGCGCAGTCTATAGTGGCCGTTGGCTTATGCCAATGGCATTCCTAAAAAAAAAAAAAAAAAAAAAAAAACAGCGGCGAGATAGGTGTTGTTGCTGA